AATTAAGTGCATTCATTCATAGAAACAACCACCCAGTCAGATTTAAGTAATTAGCACCTCACACATAATTCTGAATCTCTTTTTGCATTACCATGGGGGTTAAAAAAAAATCTGTGTTTAAAGTAATTCAATTATTTTTTTAAACTCTTTTTTTAATGTAAGAGCTTCATTTCACAGGAGCATCAGCGTGGGATGGAAGAAGCACCACAGTTATAACACTTGAGAGTGTGCATTGCCTCTCCTGTATCAGCGGGGTGACCTTGGGTGACCTTCACCTCCACAAGTCTGTCTCATCTGTACGATGCAGAGCACTGTGCTTTTACTGCTTGGTCAACGGGGGCTGTTGAAATGTTTAAAGGACAGCAGCCACGGACCAGACGGCATTCTAGTCTAAGAAGCTTTCCTTTTTCGTCGAATTTGAAAAAATCTGGCAAACACCATCCAGTATACGAAGGCAGACAGGCCATAGCAACTTCGATTCAAGTAATATTTATTGAGCACCGTATAATCAAGGCACTTTGCTGGGGCAATTTGTATGAAGAGATTAAATTGTTTTAAATTGAATTAATTTGTTAAAATGTATTAAATATATTCACTGTCATAAATCATCACTGTGATGCATCCCTAGTTCCTTTAATTAGCCAAGTTTCACAAACTTTCTGTTCTTTCACAGGCATTTCATGAATTAGATCAAACATTCCTTGATGAACTTTTTTTCTTCAGAAATGCTCTCCTTTTTTTAAGTTGTTGGTTTTAAAATTTGGGGGGGGTTATTTATTTACTATTATTTTTACCAGAGGCTGTGTGCACCCACAGAAGAGGGAAGGAAAGAGGGCGAGAAAGTGAGAAAGCGCCCTTCCGGGGGGCACGGTCAGGTCAGTCCTTTCCCCTCCAGTGCTCCCTGCTGTCAGGAGTTTGGGCACGCACGCTCACATACCCGGCGTGCTTCTCAAGCACGGGGTTGGGGACTTGAATCACAGTCAGCTATGGGAATCAGCTTCCTTACCATCAGACCAGGGATTGGCCCAAGTTTTTTATTTATTTATTTTTTATTTTTTTAAGTTTATTTCTTTTAGAATGTGGGAAAGAGAGAGAAAGATAAGTAATCTCAACAGCATTTCACACTACAGTCTTCCCCACCTTCTCAGGCAGCCAGGACCTTTTCACACTACAGTCTTCCCCACCTTCTCAGGTAGCCAGGACCATGGACACATGTACCTGGTGTGTGCAAGATGACCAGGGAATGAACTGAACTGGATCCCATATAGATGACTGTGGTCTAAGTCCTGGCCCCAGTAGCTTGACATATTTACTTTAACTGAACGCCCTCTGAAAATTTGAGTTATGATCCCTCATAGAGGAATTGAAAAGGACAATTCATTGAATAATGAATAGACATAATGAATTATTTTCATTGCTACCTTTGCCTGTTCACTGTCTCCACTTCCATGTTGCGATACTAATTTTGTGTGCCAACTTGGTGATGTTACGGTGCCCGATGTTAGATCGAGCACCAATCTGCATGTTCCTGTGAAGGTATTTCTTTTGTGTGATTGATCCTGAAAGTCAATAGACTTTAAATAAAGCAGATGATCCTCCATGATGTGGTTGGGCCTCATTTAATCAGCTGAAGGCTTTAAGAGCAAAGACTGAGGCTTCCTGAAGAGGAGTTTTTGTCTCAAAATGGCAATATAGAAATCCTGCCTGGATGTACAGCCTGTTGTCCTGAGGACTTTGGATTCAAGACTTCAGCATCAACTCTTACTGCATCTCCAGTCTGACATTTTGCCCTAAAATTTTAGACTTACCAGCCCTATGAGCTTGTGAGACAACCCCTTTAAATCTCTCTCTCTCTCTCTCTTTCTCTCTCTCTCTCAATATTTATATAGAAAGCCTGTTGGTTCTGTTTCTCTGAGAATCCTAACTAATGCACAGCTCCGAAAAGTTATTTATTTATTTATTTATTTATTTATTTATTTATTTATTGGAAAGAGAGGTGTTCTTGACAGGGTCTTGCCATGCTGTGGTCTGTCCCCCATCTTCCCAACCCGCCATGACCACAGGCACACCCAGGGTTTAGGTCAGCTCCGGAGCCTCCCACGTGGGTCAGCAGCGTGTGGCAGTGCCCTACCACTTGTGCCATTGCCACAGGCCCTGACTAACATGTATCTTAAAGATCTAGTCACTGGGAATGGCCTCCCAACAGAGAAGGGAGGAAGGAATGCCTGTAACAGGTAGCACACACCCACTCTGCTGTAGACATTGCCCTAGATAAGTTGATTTGATAGTCACAACCCCTCAGATGGAACATCCATGTCGTGCTCATATGAAAGACAAGGGAACCAAGGCCCAGGGCTGTCGTCATTGATGTGCCGTGGTTAGACAGATCTCAGCCTAAACCCTGTTTCCTACTGAACAGACCTCACAGACGGCAGATCTGCCACGCCATGCTGCACGGAGACCGAGACACGGGGAGGTGTGCCCACAAGAGTTTCTGCATTGAAATAGCCCAGATCCCAAGAGAGTTGGGCAAAGCCTTCTGCAGATTCTGCTGAGGAGAGCAGGGTAGGTGAGAAGGTGCTATCAGACTTCCAGGGTTCCACGGCAGGCCCTCCCTCCCCTGGTTTGCACTGTATTGGATTTGATGAAGATGCAGTAGGTGGTGTCATCTACGGGATGTGGTCCGATCTCCTGATCTGGGTTATTGCAACAAACACATGCCTCGTCATCTCACACAGAGCTACATTTGCTGGGAAGATGCTGATGATAAGGCACGATTTCAAACCCTGCTCAGAGACTAGAGGCCAAGCAGGTTCTGTATTGCAATGTGTTTCTGCACACCAGGAACTCACGATCCACTGAGTGTGCAGCCAGTTTCTGCGCTGGCAGGCAATACAAAGTTAGCAAAATGAGGGAAATGGCTTGGATTTCAGACACATTTATATTTTGAAGCAATGTAAACTTCAGGGGCATTGCTCAGAAGATACTGTGTGTTGTGTCCAGTCCCTCCCATTTGTTGTTGTTTGTAGATACGACCCTGGACAATCTTTCCAGAGGTGGGCATTTGAAGTGGAATGAGAGCTTGGCTGTGTGACTCCGATTTAAGGCCTTATTACCTACTGACTGTGTCATCCTACCTAGATCCCCTACCTGTCCTGGGCTACAGTTACGTCATCTGAAAACCTTAGAGTAGAGCTAGTGGGTGAGTCCAGGATGGACCATGATCAAATCTGTTCTGAGCACCTTCCTGTCCCTGAGTTAAACAGAGAAGAATAAGGGTCCTGGTTCTCGGCCTGGCGGTTAAGGCAGCTGGAGCACACATGGTTGACTGTGACACTTGAGTCCCAGACCCAGTGATTTGAAAAACATGCTGGCATGTAGGTGCGTGTGCCCAAAATCTCAAAAGGAGGAAGGAAAGGAGGAGGGAGTGCAGTGTAACTACGCCCCACAGGGGTGCTTTCTGCCTTTCTCTGGAAAGTGCATGCACTCTGTGGCAAAATAAATAAATAAAATAAAATAAAATAAAATAAAATAAAAATCTTCAGAGGCTGCAAGCCTAGTGGAAAAGTACTAAAAATCATGTCCTAAGTGTATATATGTAGTATACTAAGAGAACTTGCAGCAGGATTGATCAACTCAAGTATCCTGTGCTTACAAAGCCACTTTGATCTGTCACCTGGACCCTTGCAAGGACTCTTTAATTGATCTCCTTGATAGTCAAGTTGATGCTTTTCTACCCCAAGATCCCTTGCCATTTTGTTTCGATCATTATTTCAACTCTTCGGTTCTGTTTTACAGCCTACACTCTAGGCAAACTGAGCTCACGAGTCTGAAACGTAGCAGGTTGAATAGACGGTGTCCATGCAATTTTCTCTGCCTGCGATGCCATTTCTCTCTCTCCCCTTCCTTCTTCCCCATCTGTACATCGTCCAGCTCTCTTGGTCTTCTAGTCCCAGCACAGATGCCGTCTCTGCCAAAGCTCTTACTCAACTGTGTCTAGGCAGATGCAGCACATCCCCTCCCTGATTCAGAATGGGACTTGCTCTCTCCAGTTTTCCCCAGCCCCAGACTTTCTGAATCCCACTCCTCCTCTCTGGAACCCTCTGTGACTCTTCTTGAAAAGCTCAGCCTCATGAATGTGGGAAGAAAACCCTGATGCCACTCTTAAGTTAAATATATACTGAGTAGCTACTATGGGCTGGATACTGTGTCAGGCCTTGCCTGCGTCAGTTCAGGCTGA